GGCAGTTCCCCTTCAAAAGATTATTTGTGAATGACCATTTGATAAATGAATAGGTTTTAAGCTGGCTGTTTTCCTTTTTACGAAATATAGAAGGAGAAAGTTGGTATATAATTACAAACTAGCTCGTAGAAGTAAGATTGCAGTAAACTAAAATTAAACAGTGAAAATGAGTCTGTTATTTGGTGGTCCCACAACACCAAGTTGTGCATGAGGTCCACTACCAAAACTCTAAAATTATTTCAAAACTTCAAAACTCACAAATCATAAAAACTCTTGTCTACGATTATTTCAAAGTAATAACAAATATATTTTATGGAATACAAACCGGAACTGCCACAATAAAAGAAGGAAAAGTGTTCTATGAGTCAGTGGGTGCAAAAGCCCGCTAAATCATCAACGATCAAATTAGATATAGATGGTGCCAAAAACATCTCCAAAAAAAAGCACATTACAAAGTTTTTTTCTATTTTTTTTCATACATTAGCTTGGTTTAGATGGTGAATCCCTAAAATATTAGATCAAAAATTCATCTTTATGGTAAATTTTGGAGGGGGGGCGCACATGTACATATGAGTTGTCTAGCCTATAAACCAACCATTTATAGGGCCTTGGTAGACCTAACATATGGAATTATAGGTCATTCTGAACCTTAGTACCCATCTATAAGCACCTGTCCCGAGGCCCTATAAATGTAGACCAACTATATAGGGCTTTTATCTGGCTACTTGGCCTATCTTGGAACAAACTGTTACAAAGACGGGTACTAAGACAGGATATCAGCCTCCTATTCTTATATCCTGTTAAGTTATCCCACGAGTTCCCTAAATAGGCCCCTGTGGAACTTGAAACCACGGATATAGAACCCATGCTCTAGTGAGTGGCCTTGGGCGGTGCGTATCATGAAGGCCTCTGATATTGTGTCCCCAAGCCTAGCTTCTATGTAGGCTACATTAATGCGTACAATCATGCGTGTACGGGCTTAGGTCCTTTTGTTCGATGTCCGATAAGTGTAGGCTCGATAAGTGCAGTCCACCGCTTCTATGCTGGCAAAGGGCAAGTCCACTACCCATCCAACGGGCTTCTCCTACCCAGGGTAGACAGGTCAGATTCGGAGTTAGCCCTGTAGAGGCAGGTCAGATACCCACCTTCAACCTTCAAGCTCCCAACCGGATGGAGTGTAGGCCTCCAGTAACTCAAGGGGGCTCAGCCATAGAAGCTACTAATCGATGGATCGGGATTGACATACATGCCTTTTTTTTCATACGCCCACCAACCTCGGTGTCCCATCCTACTAACGCCTTAGGGTGTCCCAGGTAGGTGGGGCAGATAAACGCATATAAGCGGAGCTTAGCATTAACTGTCATTAGTAGCTTGCTTTTAGTAGTGACCGACTCCTAAGGCACACTTTTAGTAATCCGTTCTGTCTTCTTAAAGCTTTCGAAAAGAGACTATGAACGACCTTGGGACTCTGAAAGCGCATTAAGGCTAGTGGAGCAAAGGGCACCTTGGGAAGGGGCACGAGTGGAACGGCTTTAGTGTCCGTAGTTGCTTTAGTCAAACCAGCCTTCCTAGCTAGCCAACTAATAGGTCGATCAAACCCCCTTTTAGCAAACATAGCACTAAGAGCACCTTAGCTAGTCCGTAGGTCCATTAAGGTTAGTGTAACGAAAGGCGACAAGTGAAAAGGAGAGAAAACGAAGAAGAGAAAGCAAGGGATTTCCCTTGGTGACTTAAAGGTCTTCTTCCGATAGGTATTGGAAAATTAAGAAAGAAGGAAGGAAGAGAAGTTGTCGTAAGCGTAAGCAAGACGAGAAAGCAAGCTGGCAAGAAACCCATCCATAAAAGAAAAAAAGTAAATTCAATGTGTACGATAACTAAATGCCATTAAGAACTTTTCTTCATTTCGAGTAACATGGCTCCATGGTCAAAGTGATAGACCCCCAAATTGTCATCAAATTGTTTCTGGCCCAATAAACAAAGGCTGCGGTTTGTATAGAGCCAAGGCTCTAAACTATCAAAGTAAAGCGCATCTTCAAATAGTGTTGATAAATATGGTTTCAATACTGAAAATCTTTGTGATAGCTTTAAAATATATTTTTATCTTTAATTATAAAATTTAAAGCTTCAAAAATAGTGTAGACCAAGTAAATCTATAAAAAATTAAAAATCTTGGAAATTGACGATCCAAAAATGCGTTACAAGATGCACTATTTCCAAAACTTGAAATCCATTTTTTTCTCATGTCAATGCATCTTGTTGTCGAGATGAACAATTTGAGGATATTTAGCCATCGAAGCAACCTCTTCTGGTGAAAGTTTTGAGGTGGACTCTAATGTGATTGTTTAGAGCTTCAGCTCTATATAAACATTTTTCATAAATAAATACAAAGTAATCCTTGTGTGCACTTCAAAATTATTATAAAAAACACATAAAGCAAACCATTGGGTCACCAAACTACTAAAGAAACACAAAAACACCCCCTGATATAATTTGAACCCCAAACACAATATTTTCCTTCAAGATTATCATAGAGAGTACTAAAGAAGGTGTTAATTAATATTGTCACCGGTAGGAATGGATACTAACTGAATGTAGGGATGCTACCACCATGACCCTAGCCCCTTTCCATAGAAAGTACTTTCTCTAGTTTTTGAATGAAATTGAGTGTGCATTGATGTTTCTTCCTAAAGCCATAGCATAAGAAATCTTTATCCTTTTCGAAAATGGATTGAGATGAAATGTTCCATTTCTTCAAGAATGGCAATTAATGTAACTCCTTAATCTATTGAAAAAATGAGTAGGGGCCGGTCTTCCCAACTAAATAACCCCCAAAAAAAAAAAAATCGTAGTATTCAACATTAAGGAAGGGCGAGTTGAGAAAACATACCTTGAACAAGAGCAAAGAGGGCAATTAAGAGGATAGAAGTGAGGGGAGGGCGAATGAAGGCCATCTTTTTGGCAGTGGTTTGTACTGGATGGGTTCTGTATCTTAGTATGGTTACATGTAAAGGTTGAAGGGTGATATATAATGGTTTAAGGTAAATGAATACATAGGATAAGAATGAATTTAATGGAGATAAGCATGCATATATCTTTATATTAACGCATGCAGAGAAATTTAGAACATGTGTCCAGTTAATGCTAACATTAGGAAATGACTAAAAAGCTAACAAGTGGCTATGGGCTGGTAGGTGCGACCATACATAGCCTGTACTCTAATATTTGATTTTGGTCTTGAAACCTATTCTTACAATTTAACCAGGCCCAGTGTTCGGGTCTGACTAGGCTTGGGCTACAATGGCATTAAAAAAAAGAATATATACTCCGGCTATATTACAAAAGTTATTTTTTTAATAAATCAACTTCAAATAAAATTAAAGATATAAATCTAGGTTATCAAAACTTGATGCCACATAAAACCATTCTATCAATAACTAAAGAAAGACACAAAATAAAAGATAGAAGAAAAAAATATACAAGAAACAAAAAAAATGCCGGAAATTACCTCAACCGGGCTTCTTACACCCCACACTGAGCCACCACCTTCTGATGGCACATGATCAATTGTCAACCTTCAATCTCAATCATAGGAAAGCAATTTAGGCCAAAACCCCCCAATGGAACAAGAACTCTTTTTTCAATTAAATCTCAAGTTCAAGTAGAACCCTCAGATGACCTAGTTGACAGATATAACATCTCTGTTACGACACCCTAAACACTTAGCTTCATATCACAAGATGAGAAAGAGAGATCCAAGAGACCAAGAGTATGGTGTGCCCCTTTGTTTAGCAAAGGGAGAAAGAGAAAGTTTCCATGAGAGATTTTCTAAGAGATCGGCTTGCCCCCTTTGTGGGATTATGAGAGAGAAAGAGAGAGAGAGAGAACTTTTTATAAGAGAGAAAAGAGATATTACGTAGAGAATATTGGGTAGGATCCATCTGTTTTTTATAGTGCTTCATGGGATTTTAGGGTTTCTTATGGTTTTCTATGGGTTGTCTCTTCTTGTGATATTGAATATGCATTATTGATCTTGGGTGACTTGTGGGGTGAGAGATATGAACTCTCTATTCAACAGATAGGTCATCAAGATTATATGGAATGTGCTAGAACCATTATTCCCCATTTTCTAAATCATTTTCCCATCAGTTAATTTAAATAAAAAAATAATATATGATAATATTGTGCTTTTTTGTTTCATGCACAAGTCTTTTCACACATACCAAATTTTAATTAAAAGCTTCGTCAAAGTACAAACTTTCAAAAACACAAGATATCTTTTCCATCAAGCCATGAGCTTGAGCTCACAAAATTAGAAGTCTTCTCAAGGTGGGGTGTGCCACCCTAGGTAGCACACTATGGGCCCCAGGCAATTGACATGGTGGGCATACATATCTTATTGAGCTTCTTATGCAATATAAAAATATTAAAAATAATATTAGAATATTATTTTAGAAAAGTTACTAATACTGTTCTTACACACTTTTACTGAATATTCTTACACACTTTTACTGAATATTCTAAAATTTCTAAGAAAATTTTAGAAAAATTTTAAAAAATTTTAACACTAAAATTACGTTTTTATGGCAAAGTTTGAAGGTGAACAACATCCATAACAAAATGTGGTGTATATTCGCCAACGTAAATTTGCAGAGGAGTTTATTTATCGGTATTATCGTCATTAAGACTGAGTCTTCACCATCGTACAATTCTCAAGCAAGTTGTTGGGACCCTCCTAATTAGGTAGGGGAAGGCTCTATGGGTATGGCATGGGAGAGAGATTTGGGGTGCTTTTGATATTTCTTAATTGTTGGGTTGCTTTTTCTTTTTCATTTGGCCAATTTACCTGCTGCTGCGTAGGTTTTAGAGGGATGGGTTCTCGCTATTTGTGTGTGTTTTGAATTGTCCTTTTCGCATCTTTCTTTAGCACCTAAGCCAGGCCCGCCCTATTTATTCATTCATGGACCGACTGTTGTCTATGACACTACTCGTATCATCTCTCTCCAAAACAACAGTCACCCGTCTCTCTCTCTCTCTAACAAAAATTACACGAAAACTCTAGCAGATAGATGAGGTTGATTGTTCTTATCATGTGTCCTCTCTTAACTGTAGAATGCCCTTGATTGAGATTCTAGCTATAAATGAGAGGGGGAGGAGGAGATGTTGGTAGTGAAGTATCTGTGAGATATGATGATGATGATGAACAGTATGAATGACGCGGAGAAGGAAGGAGGAGAGGAGGTGTTGATGCCAGGTTTCAGATTTCACCCTACAGAGGAAGAGTTGGTAGAATTCTACTTACGCCGTAAGGTCGAAGGCAAGAGGTTCAGTGTTGAACTCATCACTTTCCTCGACCTCTACCGTTATGATCCATGGGAACTTCCAGGTCTCTCTTTAATTCATGCTCTTCAATTATGGAGGAGCTTCTAATTACTCACTGACTGACTTAATTATGTTCTCTTTCTCTCTGTACATAAATATAACAGCACATGCAGTGATAGGTGAGAAGGAATGGTTCTTTTATGTGCCGAGGGACCGCAAGTATCGGAATGGCGACAGGCCGAACCGCGTAACGACATCCGGCTACTGGAAGGCCACAGGTGCGGACCGCATGATCCGTGGTGAGAGGAGCAGCAGGCCGATCGGTCTCAAGAAAACCCTTGTCTTCTATTCGGGGAAGGCCCCCAAAGGCACCCGCAGCAGCTGGATCATGAATGAGTACAGACTTCCCCAACATGAAACCACTTCCGCTGATCATAATCATCATATATTCCAAAAACAAAAGGTACTAATACTGTTCTTACACACTCTAATTAGATCCCAATTTTAGAAATTCATAAAATCATATTTGAATAATTGAATTAATGTAAAATTAATATATATATTTTTATAAATTCAAATTTGATAAATAAAATATCCAGAGATTTAAAAAAATTCAACTAACAATTCTAAAAACCATATAACATTAAAACAAAGTAATTACATTGATGATATACTAGTCACCATTTTTTAATAATTTAAGTAGCTACTCAACTATAATTCAGAATATACCCAAATTCCCCAAGATAGAGGTATTTTAGTAATTTTGTCATGTAAGTTACATGAGCCAAGTTCCCTAAATAGCTGGGTTCCCTAGGTTTTAAAGCGAGAAAAATATAATTTCATTAAAAAAACTCTTGCTCTAGGTTGCAAACCATAGTAAGTTCTTTTTAATAAAGAACAACTTCATGATATGTAAAAACTAAAAATGAATAAGCTGGGAGCTACTGGTCATTACACTCGAGTGACTTTTGTTTCTCAAATTCCCAAATGCCCTTATTTGTTCAGACATACAAACTCGAACAAGGGTAATTTAGGTATTTTTGATAAAAATTCATGAGGGAGAATCTAGATAAATGATTTTTTAAAATGAATAAGTTTATATAAGGCTGAAGCCCTAAACAATCAAATTAAAGTGCACCTCAAAAATTCATTTGAAAAAGTTGTTTCGATGCCAAAAAACCTTCAGATTTAATCATATTGATCTTCAAATACATGGACCTTAAAATATTGATCTTCAAATACATGGACCTTAAATAAATGGACTTGCAGTCTTGACAATAGTGGATCTTGTAATGCATTATCTCAACCGTCAATTTTCAAGATTCTCAACTGTTCTTAGATCTGCTTGATCTAACTTATTTTTAAAGCTTTGATTGTTATAATTAGAGATGAAAATAAATTTGTAGGCCATTATAAAAAACAATTGACACTAAAACTATAATTTTTTACACTATTTGAAAGTGTGCCTGTTAGTCCCAATAAAGAAAAGTAATAAATAAATAAAACCGATAAAAAACCTACTCGGATATATCCTTAAATCATACGATGAACTTAAGGTTCCACGCCAAAACCTATAGACCAAGTCACCCGGTGACAGGCTACCGTGATAATCCTCTTTGATGAATCTCCTTCACCTATTTTACATCATTCTCTGTATCTTTTCTCATGACGGGTAACTTCTTTTTATAGAGATCTTATTTTGGTTTGTAACTCTCGCATTCAAGGTCTATAGGAGTTGAGATTCAAGTATAACTCTTATCTGAATTCCCTTAAGTGAAGCTAATTAGTATTAACAAGTTGTCACCAAACTATTAACCATATGTAATGAGCTAAACCTGTCATGCATCCACTAATGACTCACATAATAGGATTTCATCCAAGTATTCCTACAATTTAATATATTTAAAAATTAAATAAACTTTATATATCTATAATAGATAAAAAATATTTCTTATAAAGAATTTAAACACACCACTTGTTTTTCCCTGCAGTGCAACACCTTATTAAAGCTCAAAAATAGATCTAAGTATATAGCATTGCTCTAGTTAACCATATGAAATTTCACATTTACTACAATATAGCTTTTAGACCATTATTACAAAAGAAATTGCCCAAATAAAAAGGCATCTTAGGCTACATTCCCAACAATGCCTTACTTGGATGGTTTAGGCTTCGCCCTTATACAAACTACACCGTTTTTAACAACTTTGTTGGTAAAACTGTGTACATGATACCCGAGATGATTTTTTTTACCAAAATAATACAGACCATCCGTCCATCGCTCTTACCCAAGATTTGCAACAATGTTTCTTATTTGAATATTAGGTGTGGAAATACTTAGCATTAATGTTTTTTATATAAAAATATTTTGGTGTTTCTATAAATTTTTTCAATTTTCAATTTTGTGGCAAATAGAAATATTAAGAAATAAACAATAAATAGATAAATAAAAACCGTAGTTTTGCCTTTTCCAAAATCACACATGATTTCTTATTCTTACATATATCATTTCGGATCTTAGGAAAAATAAATGATACTTATACAGATAAAAAATGGGGTTATTTAAAAATTTTATTTTTAATTTTTTAAGCTTTTTTTTTTTTTTTGGAATTACACTGGGGGTTATGTAAGGTGTGAGTAGTAAATAGTCCCTTATTTTCTTTAAACCCAGCCCTATTCCCCTTATGGCCGGGCGAAACCGAGTAAAATTGAAGGAAAACAATGCAAAAAAAATGAAAAAATATAAGGTCCAGCTGGTTAAATTGGTCTGGGCTTGTCTTGGCCTAGCCTAGGCATGTCCCTCGGGCCACATTTTGTGATCCAAGCCCTTGTTTTTTTAGGGCCAGGCCGACCAATCGGACTAGACCACCTCGCCCATTGCCACCCCTAAGATCTATGCAGAAAAAAACTTAATTTTTTTGTTGGAAATTATTCACATGTTGATTCCAAAAATGTTACATCAAGCAAATCCTCCTAGTGGGTACTTTTTTTTTAAAAGCGCTATTGGTCCGATGTCTCAAACATCGAAATTCTATTTTAACCAAAAATAAAAAACAAAACGACAATCAAATGTTGCAATTATGGGACCATTTTTTAAGCCTTAAAAAGAAAAAAGGGGGTTTGGTTCGAATGCTTGAAACATTGCACCCTTCCAAAATAGAGGAAAATGACTACCATAGGGTGGTCCAATATTTGGGACATCGAACAACCCTACTTTTGAGCAATCCCATCTGGACTCTCGGATAATCCTAGAGTTCATGAAAATATAAATAATGTCACGCCCCAAGAATTTAAAATACTGGTATTCTTGAGATGTGACAGTCAAAACATATATACTTCTCATTGATAGGATAAATTTACAGTGGCGAATTCTTACAAAGTAACAAAAGAAAGTTTAAGCACAACTACAGTATCTTCCAAAGTTGATCCTGACGAGCACTCAAAATGTAACCGCAGTTATTCTGAAAAAATATTTACTATAATTTGATGAGTTTGGCTACTCAGTAAGTGATCATCATAATCCTAAAAATAATCATGATTGAAAGATATCAATATTTTAAAAAATGAGATCTATTAACAGAAATGCATTAACAGTTTCACTTTCAAAAAAAGCATAATTAAGTATAATCCGAATAATTGAAAGGCAAATAACATTTTAACGGCAGTGCATAATTCAAATGATTTCACAAAATACCCTACTGGCGTCCCAAGTAGGTCACCTATATACCCCATCAGCGTCTTGATGGGTTCACTTAATCCCTATCGGCGTCCCAGATAGGTCCACTTAATCCCTGCAGGTCCACTTATACCTCACCGACGTACCGGATGAGTCCACTTAATCCCTACCGGCGTCCCAGATAGGTCCACTTATACCTCACCGGCTAATCGGATGAGTCCACTTGCGTACTTAAAGAATTTCTAAATCTCTTTAAACATTCGAAAGCAGCAATATCATGTACTCAACATATCACTGAAATCATTAATATGAATTTCACTTAAACCATTAATAACAGTCACTTTCAATAACATTTTAAAAACACCCAGTCAAATATTTTGGGCTCAAATTTAGAAAGGTAGCAATTCGTAAAAACATTATAGCATAATTGCCAATCTAATATGTATAGAAAGACTCTTATAGAAATTCAAGAATACGGAATCATCACAATTTATGGGATGTCAATTCGCAAATAAATATTTCACAGACAATGCTTTAATCAATTGCAAAAATATCAGTTTTTAAATAATAAGGCAGTCATTTGCACAAGGATTTCACAATGTCTAAATATTCAAAAACAGTAGAAAGAAATCTCACAATTTTAGTAAAAGCAGAACTATCACATTTATTTCTAATAATTTTATTTCTAAAATTTTCTAACAATAGACAAGAAAAATAAATAAATAAATTTATTTCTAAGAATTTACAGCATTTAAAATTTCTAATATCATAATTTTATTAAAAAGTTTATTTTCAAAATAATGAGGTCGCTTGCACATAAAATTTATCGCACCTAAAATTCATGATAATAGGCAGAAATAATTATTTCATTTCATTTTTATAAAAAACGGATTATTTTTCAAAATAATGAAGTCACTTACCTAAAATATTTGAGAGGGAGCTTTCGATAAAAATTCGGCTAGAGAGAGAAAGAGCTCACTGTGTTTCGACTAAAGAGAGATCTTGAAACTTTCTAGGGTGGGAATCTTCACGTCTCCAAATTTAAATTCTTATAACATAATATTATATTATTTTATTAGGCTCCACCTCATACTTGAGGTGCTACCTTAATATTATGTGAGGGACGATTAAGGCCCAGGTCAACTAAGGAAGGAAAAAGCTTAAACCAAAAGCTTTTGAAAGTAGTGATGGTCCCTAGGGACCATCATGCTCATATAGATCATCACTTATTAAAAGTTTATTTTCTCTCTTCTTTTTTTTTTTTTTGAAATTTTAGGATTATTATATTCTTCCCCCCTTTGAGAAATTTAATCCTTTAAATTTGTGTACCTGATTACTGAAAAAGATAGAGATATTTTTCTCTGATATCGTCTTCTCGTTCCCAAGTCAACTCCTCTCTTGAATGGTACTGCCATAATATACGGACCAAAGGAATCTCCTTGTTGCACAACACTTGTACCCTTCTATCCAATATCAGAATTGGCTGCTCAATGAAGAATAGGTCCTTCTTGATCGGTAAAGGTTCATATTTCAAGATATGGGATGGGTACGGCTAATATTTTCGTAGTGATGATATATGGAAGACATTATGGACGTTTGCCAATTCGGGTGGTAAGGCAAGTCTATAAGCGACACCTCCGATTCTTTCCAGGATTTTAAATGGTCCGATGTAACGTGGGCTCAGCTTTCCTTTCTTGCCGAATCTCATAATGCCTTTTGTTGGTGAGATTTTTAAGAAAACTCAATCACCTTCCTCAAATTCAAGATCTCTCCTTCGGTTATCGGCA